GCTTATCAAATTTCTTTTTGATGCCTTGTCATTTTTTTTTTTGATGCCTATGCCTCGTACATGACTGGACGATACTCGACATTTGACAGTCAGATAAGCTGCACTGGTTGGACGAAATGGGCCATGGATCTTCTGGGATCCCTGGATTCTTGCCAAAATGGGTTGAGAAGTTCCTGATGGCAAGCACCTGAAAGGGTAACTGATACCTGAGGGGACGGCACCTGTTGTGAAACACCACAAGACATTTTAAGCGAGACATCCTGAAACACAAAATGGCTTATAAAGGCAAGCACCGAGCAAACTGCCTGGCGCCTCTGGAAGGGCAAATCCAGAAAACACATTCTGTTTCCAGGCAATACCTTTGATTTGTTCTAGAATATCTAGGATGAGAACCCCTATATGTCCCGCATGGTTGCACTCCCCGATAATTGTGTCACGTGGTTGTACTAACTTTTCCTGCCAAACTCCCTATCCTGACATTATCCCCAAACCCTATACCATAAACGGTAGATTCATAGGAACCCTGACCCTTAGAAGCGAAGTATAACGGAACCCAGGGCGTTCTCAGAGGGTCTGCTTTACGCCCAAGACCCGTAATGATCTAGTAGCTTCAAATTTGTCTCCATTCCCCTAAACCCTAAACCCTAAACCCTGAACCCCAACACCTAAAAACCATAAACCCTAAACCCTAAACCTAAATCTAGAACTCTTAGGAATTGCACATCAATTGCCGGCACAGGAGCCCAGCACTGCAGCCAGCTCCTCGGCTGCCGCAGCATCCGGCTCTACCTGAGGGGGGATCTCAAAACAGGCGTCAGGGATTGGGGGGTTTAGGGTTGGAGTTTATGGATTAAAGTTCACGGTTTTGGGATTTGGATTAGGGTTTGGGATTTAGGGTGTGCTTAAGGCCCATGCATGAGGTTGTTTAAGTGGAATTGTAAAGTAAATAATGAGGGCTCTATGGAGAACCGTTGAGAGGCTCACACCGGAGTTCGAAAGTACGGCGGATAAAGGAAATCTTGCACAGGCGTCTGAAAGGAGGCACGCCCGAGGGGTGTGGGGGCCTGTCCTGATGCTGGCTCGGTGTGAGGAGGTTTTCTTTACTTTCGGGAGCAAACCAGGAGCTTAAGGAGACGCGGGGTTTCGCATGAAGGCTTTAAAAGTCGAAGGACTTTGCGTTCTAAGGCGTCACGCGTTACAGCCTTTTGTAAGCACTGTCGGATAGATATAGTTTGTTCCAGGTTGTTTGTCGTGTGGGCGTAGATCTAAACCCAAATCCCTGAACCCTGAACCCTATATAACCCCATAATCCCCTTTAAACGTACCCAATATAGACCCCAAAATACTTCAATCCTTATAATGGGGGCTCCCAAAAAGGTACCACTAATTCTGGGAAACCCTAAACCCTATCATAATCCTTATAATCCCCTTTGAAGGTACCCAATTTTTTACCTAAACCCTCTTATAATCCCTATAATCCCCTTTTGAAGGTACCCAACAATTTTACCTAAACCCTATTATAATCCCTATAATCCCCTTGAAAGGTACCCGAAACTTCTCGTATTTGGGAAAGTCTGGGGTAGCAGAGCCCAGTGACGGCGACGGCCACCTCCAGGGCGCGCTGCCTGTGTTCTCTGATGGGGTTTTGGGGTTTAGGGTTTGGGGTTTGGGGTTTGGGGTTTGGGGTTTAGGGTTTAGGGTTCAGGGTTTTGGGTTTTGGGTTTGGGGTTTAGGGTTTAGGGATTGGGTGTTTAGGGTCTAGGGTTTAGTTAGGGTGTGTGGTTTGGGGCTTAGGGTTGATGCAGGCTTTTGGGTTTGGGTTTCGGGTTTGAATTAGCAGCAGTCAATTGTTCCCAATATACTGGATGGACATGGGTTCCTTGTTAAGGACTATGTTAGGGACTATACTATTATAAACTATGACAGGAACCCCTATGTCAACCGTAAAGGGTTCCTTTACAAGGCTAATCTTGGCAGTAGCTGATATAGGGTTTGCAGCTAAGGTTTAATGTTCTTACTAGTTAAAAAAAGATCGTTCACAATACATGTCTCAAGGGACATCGCCTCAAGGTGCGACTTTGTCGGGGTACTGCGTGTAGCGTCACGGGCTTGACTTCTTGTCAAGGCCCAGCCGGCATCAGAATCAAGCTGCTTTGAACCCCCAACATGTTGAGCTATATTTAAGAAACAAAACGCAGGATCACCTACCCGTGATACCCCCGCGCCCTAGCAGTTAATATACACGCTGTCTTATACCATGGTTGAGTAGGGGGCATCGTTGTTTGGAGGGAGGTGATTGCTATATCCAGTGCTGCGCACGTGGAGGCCTACCCTACACAAGCCCCTAAACCCCACATGCTTTTCCGTGCCTTGAATAAGTTTTATGCTTTAAAGGTTCCGGTGGCAAGAAGACTCTGACAACCCAACCCCCAGAGTTAGTGCCGTACTATAACATGGGGAATCGTTCCGAGCTATTCGTCCATTCCCTACTTACAAGATCTTCGACGTTGAGAGGAATGTGTCTGGAACCCTCCTAATTTGTGTTGTTAGCTGGGGGGCTCCTAGTGAACAAAAACAAGCTTTTCAGGACACCTCTAGTTAACTCGACTGCAGCAATATTGTGACAAGCTGCGATAACTCTTCCGGAGACTCGATGCCCTCTGCCTCCAGGCCATGAGGTTTGGGGACCACTCCGGGAGTCGAATACCGCTTAACTGAGGATTTTTTTGGGGTTATGAAGGGTTGAATAGGGCTCATGAGGTATCTGTAAGGCTTAGGGTAGAGGTTATACCCCTTGATTAGGGATATGGCTCAGAAAATGTTTCCGGCCTTGCAATAGCGAGCAATCTTTGCCCCGTACCTGAGGATGGGGCGATGCTCACTTTGTTGGTTGTTAGTAGGCAAGAGGGTACCATTCAGGGTTCTAAGAACAAAATGCAACTAATGCATGCTTGAGGATTGTGCTACCAAGCAATAACTTTGCTGCATTTTGAGACTTTGCCTTTAAAATGCTAAGTGCAGGTCCTTCTAAAGTTCCTGATAAGAATGTGGCCATGTTGACAACATTTTCTCGCAGGGGGATCCGAACCTTAAACCCTAAACCTTCTGGCCATGTTGGGAAAAGGTATTCCGAACAACTACATAGCATATGGAAACTTGAACATTCAGGGGTACCTTGAAACGGCTCTTTGGGGGCTGCATAAGGATCTTGAAATACCCGACATGCGGTCAGGTCCTAAACATGCCAACCCTAGTTTTGACCCTGATATAGGGTTTGGGGTGGAAAGTTTCAGATCTAGGGTTTACGCTTCGGGTTTAAGCTAGGGATTTAGGATTTGTGTAATGCATGGCGCGGAATTCTTCCCCTCCCTTCAAGGACCTTTCTCGCGACCCAGTAGGTTTTAGCATATGAAGTTGTGGGGCATGAGGCACCCCTGGAAAGGACGGGTGAGGGGGAGATCAGGAATACTGGAAATATGCACCAGTGCCAATTCAGGGTATGTTGTTCGAGCGGGAGTTCTTCGGTTCTTTCGCCTGTGGACTAAAACTTTCGTGCCCAGGTGTTTCCTCGATCCCCCTCCACTTTGCGGTAGTGGGTAGGGGAAAGAGGTGACACTCAGAGTGATCCCCACCGCCCGAGAACATTTTCGAGAGGGTCCTTATTACATGGGCTCAGGCCCCACATATAGAACCCGATCTGCGAATAGAAGCCCTTATCCCTACATCCTGCTTTACTCCCTTCTCTCCCAAGATACCTCTACTACCTCCTCGAAAAGGAACCCCAAAAATTTGGCCATACAAACTCCAATTCGACAGGCTTCTTTGAAACGTGGAGTTGGAAGAGCCATTGCCCCAGCCCTGCGTTGAAATCACGGCTGGCATCCAGGCGCGCCAACCTAGAAGGGTAAAAAAGAGCTATGGGGTCATGAGGGGATGTATATGGGATGTAAGCTTATCTTAGGGCCTCTTCCATTTAAAGGTAAGAAGTTTGGGTCCTGATGTCAGTCCTTTGCCGTTCAAAGGAATTCTAACGGCCCTTTAGGGGATGGTCAGCGTAGATACTAGGTAAAAAAGGACCCATGCGAGGAATTGTATTCCTGGCTCCCCCCCAAAAAGACAGCATGTAGATACGCCCACCCACATTGGGTTTAGGGCTTACCAACATTCCTAAGGAGCCTATAAAGCTAACCAAGACAATTCAAAACCACATCAAACTAAACCCCGCCGTAAACCCCAGCACGCTTGTACTGTAAGAGCCTACACGCACCAATATTACGGTCCCGGAGTGCTTGTATGATTATGGCCTAGGGCATAAAAGAAGACCTCATATTTTCTTTGCACTTATTATTGACAATCCCTCTACAAATTCAGGCTCCATTTCATGTTCGATGTTCTTTTCCATTTG